CCCCCCCCACCCCACTTCCGCCCAATAAACGATTACACGGAGATGGGTGGGTTTGATAAAGTGACATTTTTTATTCACCAAAATCCTCAATCCAACAGGCGATCGCCGCAATGTAAAAAAGAAACTACACACAGTGCGACGAGAATATGATCAGTGGCACTTAAATATGCAGACACGAGTGAGTGAAAAGAGAGAGAGAAAAAAAGATTAGGAAAAGATGGAGATATGGAGACATTCAGTGAAGGGGTGGAGAACCTGGAGAGAAGGCATCATAAACAAGGCTTTCAAAATTGGAGGAAAAGGGAATGGGGGGGGGGTGGGCACTAAGGTCGAATGAGTGGAAGTAGATCTGAATCGCCGGCTTCAATTTCACTGGGAAGGGGTCTGTTTGGGGCGTCATCACGCCGACGTCTGTTCTCGCGAGCAGCAATTATACCCTGTGGTCGATGAATTCTGGTAACACCGTCTGCCAATCCAGACTGAGACCATCTAAAAACAAAGCGAAGAAAAGAGGTTTAGATTCGCTGGTTGGTTTCATACCCCCTCACCGAGTGATTCAAATAAAGCAAAAATCCTAATTTTTTTTTAAATTTGTAATTTCAGCCCAAATTGTCTTCAATGGACTTATTTCAAGAAAGTGGATACACAAATGCCACATCCTATGTCACACGATCAGAAATAAGTCCACTTGGTAACAGATCACATCAACAATACGATTGTGCAAAATGACGTTTAGCTATCGAAATAATTGGTAAAATGCAGTGATTATCTTTTTGCTAATCGTCATTTTTAAATTTAGGAGGGAATTATTTTTGAAGGTAGAGGAAACGATAAGTCATCAGGACTGACGGGTCAGGAAAGAATTTATGATTTAGCTTCACTTAAAAAGGGGTATGCGATAGACTTACCTCCACATGGTGAACCCTGGGCAACGTACATTCATACGGCAAAAAGTCTACTAACTGGCAGTTGACCTCTGACTTCAAACTTCCATAACCCCACTGTATGTCATATTCGACCCCTTCCACAGTACTCATCCTACCTTTTCTCTGCCTTTGTGTCTATCTGTCTGTCACATCTGTGAATCGCTCTTCTTCCCCCCTGTCGAATTTTTTTCTCACTTTGACATTTCGCTTTCCTTCTGTGAAGCCCGAAGTCAACTAAAGGGGGCTAATGATAACTATCAAAATGCCTGCCATTTGAAATAAATAAATAAATAAACTTCTCTTAAAAAATAATTCTCGAAATACAGTCCGCCCCACTGTGTACCGATGACCTTCCCGATTTATATCCAAGTCGGTTCCCACACTCAGAAAAGTACATTAGTCATAATCTCTTAAGCACAATTTTTCAGCGTCTTCTACATTGCCTCATCTATTTGAGTAGTAGAGACTCGAAGTTTGAGCCCACAATATGAATTTGATGAAAAAAAAATTGAGTGGGAAGGTGAACTTACGCTTCTTCCACATCAAACC